AAATTGTATAATTTTTGTGTAAAATTCAATTGCTAGTTACGCATGCTAAATAAATAAAGAAATTGAATAAAATTTGTGTGCTATATACTGCAGAACTGATATATAAATTTTAAGTTTTATGTATGTGCACAATTACTTTAAACACGTCTAACAACTCAAAAGAATTCCAAAAAGCCAAAATTAAAACTATGAAATAATTAATACAAATTAATATATAAAACTTATAAAGTTACACATTCTGCAATTACTAAATTATTATTAAAATAATCTTTATTAAAAATATTTTTACATATGAATTTACATTTGTTTATTACAGCATTATTATACATAATTCTATTGCACTTTCTATACTTCAATACAATAAAAATACCACACTTTACTGCTCAATATACAAAAAAAATTTTTTTCTTACTTAGAAAATACAATAAAAAAAAATGCTTTACCTGTTTTACACTTCATTATTAGGATTAACACTATTGTCGGCTAATATATTTCTAATTTCTTGAAGAATACTTATTAAGTTATCACGAGACTTACTTGACAAACCTCAAAAACATGATCGATCCACATCACCTAAAAGAGGAATTAAAAAGTTAATGATAGATAAAATTTGTGGTCTTGTTAAAGAACTATCAGTTTTTTGAAGGTCTGCCTCTTCACATGTTATAGGTATTGGATGCCAAACGCTTAATGAAATTTTTTTAATTAGTTTTGCATTAATAAACTTAATTCTCTTTGAACACGCAATTTCACTAAATCGTTTCATTTCTTCACTTAGCATCTATTCTCCACTTATATTTTGAAAAATACAATTATCAACATTTGGATTTACAAACTGAGATTTCCTTATTTGAACTCGAAATCGACGTGATTCAGAAATATAACTAGGACGTATTCGAGATTCATGGGCTTCATTTTCAGAATAATCTATTAAATTGAAAAGATTAGTACGTAACTTCACAAACTTTGTACAATTATGAGCCGCAATTTCCCAATGCCATTGTGAAGGTATCGGAGGAATTAAAAACTTGAGAGATTTATTAATCTCTTCAAGTATTGCATCATGGCCTTGATGTTGATTCGAAAGTTTAGATTGTGAGGTTACAATTTTTTCTTGAATTAAGTTATAAATCTCAGGTCTTAAGCATAATATTTGTTTTTCATCATAAATCTCTATTAATCGATAAATTGGATTGCACCGAGCAAACCAAATAGGTGCAAACATTCATCTGGCTGCAAGTCTTAGTGAAGGCCTATTAAAATGAACTTTAGTGCAAAAGTTAATAATTGATTGCAAATAAACAAAAATTTGCTCATACTTCAATTTAAAAACAGAATCGGTTTGATTTTGGGCCTATTTAAAATAACCTTCAACAGAAGGATTTTTCTCAGAAACGATATATGGCCACATTAACTCAGAGGCCATTGCATGCCTATATATATTACATACCGAATCCCAGGACTTATAATGATCAGAGCACTTTTTGAAAAACTGAAGTTGATTCTTCATTCGATATCCTTGACATTGAGCAAAATCTTTTATATCAATATCCCAATTTAACTCGACGAATGCTTTTAGCATATTCATTTCTTCATAAAGAGCACCTGGAATTAATATAAGCCAAGGAAAACCGGGTTTCATTTTTAGTATATAATGATATGGTACACTATCACAACCCATTTACGACTATTTTTCTTAACTCCAGACATTTCTTCAATATGTTCAAGAACCTTTTGAACATTAGCAATCGAGTTAGGATTAACTCCTATTGGATCAGGAATAAATACTTGTGGTATATAAACCTCATGAGCCGAACATTGCTTACTTGATTCCCTAAAAGTATAAGGATTAATAGCTAGAGACTTTTCATTAGTGTTTACTATATTAGATGATTCATCAGATTGCTGATTTATTTCAGCAATCGTTGGTAATCTATTCTGGCATATAGGACAAACCTGCTTCTTGTTATCTATGTTGAAGATATTACAAATTGAACATTTTTTTATACAACCCACCTAACTTTGATTACATATCAAGTCATCAATTATATTCGTTTCTTGATTTTTTTCAACACAAAGATCTTCTAAAATAATTGAGAGATAATTATTAAGCTCTTCATTAATTTCATTTCCCATACCCGATATTAAATAAAATAATTCTTCATAGGACTTTTGGGTAAGTTCGGAATATAACCAAGGATCTGTAATCTGAATATAGTTATTTGGAAAATTAAAAGCAACAAAACTT